AGGCACTGTCTCTAAATAAAAAAGAAAAGGGCCAGGGATGTGGAGAAGCGGTTAAATGCCCCTAATTTCAATCCCTGGGGTGATGGTGGGAATTACAGCTCAAAAACAACAAGAAACTTGATTAGCCACATGTGGTGGTGCACTCCTATAATCCCAGCAGTTTGGGAGGCTGAGACAGGAGTAAGTTCAAAGCCAGCCTCAGCAATGGCGAGGCACTAATCAACTCAGTGAGACCCCCTGTCTGTAAATAAAATACAAAATAGGGTTGGCGATGTGGCTCAGTGGCCAAGTGGCCCTGAGTTCAATCCTTGGTAACCACTCACCCCCCCAAAAAAAACTTGATTAAAAAATCAGTGAAGGCTTGAATAAATACTTACAAAGGAGATATAATTATAAATCAAAACCACAGTGAGATACAACTTTGTACTCATCAGGATGGCTAGTATACACAATGAAAATAGAAATTGATTAATGTTGATGAGGATATGGAAAGATTGGAAACTTTGTGCCCTGCTAATGCAGCCACAATGGAAAACAGTGTTGTGGTTTCTTAAAGAATTAAAAATAGGGGCTGGGGTTGTGGTTCAGTGGTAGAGTCCTTGCCCAGTATGTGCAAGGCATTGGGTTTGATCCCCAACACCACATTAAAAAAAACACACAAATAAAGGTATTGTTCCTATAGAACTCAAAATATTTTTTAAAAATAAGAATTAGAAATAGAAGTACTGTATGATCCAGCAATCTGACTTCCAGATTTATTCCCAGAGTAATTAAAAGCAGGGACTTGAACTGATATTTCACCCATGTTCATATATGTATTATTCACAGAAGCCAAAAGGTGGAAGCAACCCTCGTGTCCCATCAACACATGAATGGATAAACAAAATGTGATACATCCATTAGATGAAATGTAATTCAACCTTAAAAAGGAAGGAAATTCTGACATGCTGCAAATGGATGAATTGTGAAGACATTAATGCTAAGTGAAAAACACTAATCAGAAAAAGACAAACGATACCAGGCAATGGATTCCTTGGTTCTTCACAAAAGAAAGTTTTCAGTTGCCAAACGCAGGTAGAATAAGAATAGTTTATTTAGTGAAGTGAAAGTACACTTTAGAGAGCGTGGTGTGGGCCATCCCAAGAGAAGTGTGACCCAGAGTTTTCCATGTGGTGGGTTTTTATATTTAGTAAACCTGCCTCCTCAGTATTATGTATTTGGGGTAATTACTGTAGTTTCCCACCATTGCTCCGTGTCCCTGTGCTGGTTTAGTCATGTTGGAAGATTTTTTGAAAGACTTTCCATCAGTGAAGCTGGGGGTGTGGAGTGGGACTGCAAACTGCTATGTAAATGATATTAGAATGAACCAGGGGTCACCCAGAACACAGTGCCTCAGTACTCTGTGTATGCTCCAAAGTTGGAAAGTCCCTTAAACTCTTTACATATGTGGTTTCTTTAGTTTTAAGAAGAAATAGGTGGCTGTGAAGGAGGAAGGCAGTTTATGGGCAGGTATTCTGGCTCCCAAGGTAGGTGATATTTCCTCACTCAAGATGGAGTGAGCCTTGTTCTCATTTACCCAACTCCCATGCTAATGTCTTATCTACTTACTTATTCTAATAACAAATGGTATGTGATTCTACTTATGTGAGGTACCTAGAAGAGTCAAAATTCATAGAAACAGAAACAACTAAAAACAAATATTATTTTAAAAAATGGAAAATTCCTAAAGATGGTGTTGATTGTTGCACAACAGTGTAAATTTTTAAGTATACCCTGAACTGTATACTTAAAAATGGTTAAAATGATAAGGGAAAAAAGAGAGAAGGGCTAGAGTTGTAACTCAGTGGTAGAGCACTTGCCTAGCCTATGTGAGGCACTGGGTTTGATCTTCAGCATCACATAAAAATAAATAAATAAAATAAAGATATTTTTAAAAGAGGGAAGGGAGAAAGAAAGAAGAAAGAAATGCCAGCTCATTTAAAAAAAAATGATTTTCAAATTAACCAACGTGTGTACTACAGACTTCTTCAGAATTAAAGTGATGCTTTATATGTTAGCTGCCTTATGGATTTTTTCTAGTTTGTCCAGTTAGTTGAAGAAAGAAATGCATAAATATGTAAACACTGCTTAAATGCTGAATAGTTATAAGGAACATTTTGTAAGAACAGATATAAATTCCATGAGGAGGTTGAGTGAGAACTAAGGAAATTGAAATTAAAGCTTAAAATCTGAATGTAAAATTGATATCTCAAATTTGAGATGTCCTGAACTGAACTCATGATCCCTACCTGCAACAAAACAAAAAGTAAACAAATACCTGCTCCCCATTTCATTAGATGGGAATTCTGTACTAGTTGTTCAAGCTAAAATAGCCTCTTCTCTCTATCTACATCACACATCTAGGTTATCAAAAAATAGATGTGGAACCTGACCATTTCTCAATATCTCCACCGCACTCTCTCCCTGATGGATACCACTTTCTCTTACACTGACTACTGTAATAACCTCCCAAAGTAGTCTCCTAAGTTCCATTTGTTCCTTGTGATGCATTCTCAGAAACATCTAGGATGGCCCTGTATGTAGAATATGTCATTCATTTGCTCAGAATGGTTTGCCATCTCAAAGGAAAAGCCACAGTCCTTATCGAACACCAGAAGAGCCTACCATATCCTTGTCATCTCTCTTACCACATCTTCTATCTTCTCCTGTGCTTATCTTGTTTCACTGGTGTTCTTTTCCTGTTATTTGAATGAGTCAAGTGGGTCCCTGTCTTGGGCTCTGAACACTAGTTTTTTCTCTGACTGGAATATTCTTCACTTTCATATACTCATAATTCACTACTTTATCAGTGAGTGCTTCTTTATTGTATCTAAAATTATACCTTTTTCATTCTTCTATACTATTTCTCTGCTTTAATTTTCTGCATGGCATTTGTTTTTTGTCAGTTGCTTCTAATTCATGCAGCTTCATTGTTTATAGTATTTGTTGTCTTTCTCCATTAGAAGAAGATAGGTATTACAGAGATAGATACACATAATTTGAGAAAGAATTTTTGTTTTGGTCACTGCTTTGGCTCAGCAGATAGTACAATGTCTGGTTCATAGTAGGTACTCAGTAACTGTTGAATGAATAATTTGTTAAATGTCTGTTTCTCCTTGTAAAATTACATAATTTGACAAATCCATGGGAAGAGCAGGCTTAGCTCTACAATCTACTAGCTTTGGTCTCTTGAGCAAGTTATTTGCCCTCTTTGAGCTCTAAGATTAGTCCTACACAAAAGAGAGCTAATAATAAAATAATTATTGGGCTATAGCTAGCTGTAGCTCAGTGCTTGCCTAGCATGAGCAAGGCCCTGGGTTTGATCTCCAGCAACACACACACAAACACACAGAGTTGTTTGGATTAAGTAATAAATATTTCAGGGCTTTGTAACCTAGTTAAGGTAGTTAATAAATGTAAGGTAATATTAGGGTGGCGATTAATGTCCATATTAGGCCTTACAGGCCCAGGCCCAACCCAGTATATACTTTTATTTTTTTTTCCCCATTCAGTACTGGAGATTGAACTCAGAAGACTCTGCCACTGAAACTATACTCCTCACCCTTTTATTTTTTATTTTGAGGTAAGGTCTTGCTAAGTTGTGGAGCCTGGCCTCAAACTTGCAATCTTAACTGCTTTAGTTTCTCAAGTTGCTGGGTTTGCAGGTGTACAACACTATACTGACTCAGTATATGCTTTTTGCTCAAATAATTTTCTTTTTGGCCATCAGCCTCTTTTCCTACTTAAGTGGTTGTATAACATTATTTTAATTGGCTGTAACTAGAGCATATCTAGTCCATTGTGAAACAAATATTCTTTTTCTAGAGAGCAAAACTTCAAAAGTGAACTCCAAGCATACAGAGGAAGAGGGTTTTTTTTGGGGGGGGGATGATATATAAATACATATATGTATTTTTAATATATATTGTATATTTTGACATATATTTTTTTTAATATATATTGTATATTTTGACTATGTATATTTTGACACTGGGGATTGAACCCAGGGGCATTTAACTACTGAGCCACATCCCCAGCCCTTTTAAATATTTTATTCAGAGACACAGTCTTGCTAAGTTGCTAAGGTTGGCTTTGAATTTGTGGTCTTCCTGCCTCAGCCTCCCAAGCCATTGGGATTACAGGTGTGTGCTGTAATGCCCAGATGTTTTATTTTGTGAGAAAATTAACTTAGGACTTGGACTGCAAATATCTGGTAAGGCTGGCCCTCTCATAGACTTTAAACAATTTAAATGAGATGATAAGATGCAAAGTTGTGTAAGTTGTAAATTTAAGTATTAGCATAGACTCTCCAGAATTCTTCACTGAAGAATTCTATTTTCTGGTTAATAAGTTAGTATTTTGGTCTTGCTGCAAAATAAAGAAGCCATATGCTATTAACTGCTGCTGCTATTGTTGATCCTGAGCAAAGAAGATACAGTATGTTCTCTTGCACTTGATAACTTTTTAAACATTTAGAGATTAATGTTTTAAACATTTAGAAATTAATGTGTGCTTTCTGATTCATTTCTTTGAATTAAAAAAAAACTCAATTTGTCCCTTTTTAAAAATATTTTTTAGTTGTCAATGGACAACTTTTACTTATTTGCCTCACATGTGCTAGGCAAGTGCTCTACCACTGAGCTACAACCCAGTCCCCTCCTTTAATATTATGTGAATTTAAACTATCTCATTTTTAATTTCCATTTAGTCAGGTTCTGATCAAAAGACAAAAACCAAGTGGTAATTCAAAAGTTAGGAAATTTAACTATTAATGGTGAAAGACAAATCAGAAATAGCAAATACTGGCAGCAGATACTACATGTAGGGCTAAGATAGGTATTTATTTATTTATTTATTTTTAAAGAGAGAGTGAGAGAGGAGAGAGAGAGAATTTTCAATATTTATTTTTTAGTTCTTGGCGGACACAACATCTTTGTTGGTATGTGGTGCTGAGGATCGAACCCGGGCCACACGCATGCCAGGCGAGCACGCTACTGCTTGAGCCACATACCCAGCCCCCTAAGATAGGTATTTAAAAACAAAGTTTGAAGTTGCTCCTAAAAGCAATCTTCATATATTGGAGGTCTTCGCTGGATGCTGAAGGTATTTGCTGAATTGTTGCAGTCAAGGTAGGCAAACAGGAAGCTGTGTGTAGAGATGTTACTGAGCCATTTTGGAGTATGGCAAGAACTTGTCTGGGAAGGTATCTGCAGTAGTGCCAACTAAAACTTGTTGGGGTGAAGCGCTATTGTGCGTCCCTCACACCAATAGAGCATTGTGGAAGCAAGGAATTAGCACACTGGAACCAGGGAAAGACCCCTCTTCAGTGCCTTCCACTAAGCTGAACCTCCTGCCAACTGGAGAAATGGTTATGGGTCCACCTTATTACAAACAAGGTAATGAAGACTGGATTTGGAGTTGAGAGGCAAGTAATTATTGGCACAGTCTTATATTTGTGCCCACTTATCTTCCAAATACTCCTGTATACCATTTGAGTTCTCATGTAGCAAGGAAGCCGCTGAAGTTGTCTATCTTATAATGAAGAATCCCTCACTCTTTCCCTAAAACGAAGAGTTGCTCAGTTCCTATATCATGGTTTCCATTGCTGGCCATATTTATCACTCCTTGAATCAAAGTTTCACGGAATATTCTATTACAAAGAGATGAGTTACAAAGTTGATCTTCAACAACTTAAAATAATTAGAAGGAAAAAAGAAAGTAATTAGCATTTACAAATAAAATATAACAAAGAGAAAATATTTAAAGCAATCATTGTTTCTTCACCACTTTCACTATTACCTTCAAGTGTGCTATGGTGCTACAGCTTTTCACTTTCAGGTTTCACCAGCATGTTATACTCACTCATGTATAAACCATAAGTTTGGATTTTCTTTTTCCCCCTTTCTTAGTCAGCTGGTCATCTGGATTCTCAGGAGGCTGTCAGCATGGGTTATTGGAGAGGAAGCAGTGCAATAGAAGTCTATTGAAGAAGTTTGAGCAACCCACTATATGACTTACTCATATCTGTGAACCTTCTTGAATTTGGGCTATTACATACTGTTTCGCTTGGTGCTGCACGTGCCCAACTAGAGAAGGTTGTTTGGATAATATCCATTTTTTAGCTGAGAAGCTCAGACCACAAAGCTACATTATGTATGCCCCATAATTAGGCATTTTGTCTTTATCAATACCCAATTTCAAGCCTGAAGCAAATTATTAAAAGGTGGATAGTTATCTGTAGAAGACATAGGTTTCCTTCAAGATTTTATGAGTCTGGGCTGTGATTCTCTTAATCTTGTATGCTAGAGGCTTCATTAAACATCCCTATTTGCAGGGACATTTCAAGTGTCATTGGGTCTATTGAACTGTAAGGCCTAAGTGACAAAGCAATTTAGTTGCAACTTGAACTTGCTACAGAGTCATCTCTTCTTTTGGTCCCAATATAAGCTGTCAGCCTTATAACTTTGTATATGGGTTAAGATATATCTTTTTTTTTTTCCTTTTAAATTGTTGGTACCATATTGTAGCAACTGACTCATTTTGAAAGGAAAATTTCAGACCTTGAATCCCCAAGTACTTGACTAATATGAAGGATTCCTAAATTGGGGGGGGTTATATTCTAGTTTGTATATATCTTCCTAAAGCATCTGACTATTTGCTATTTCCTATTCATCAAACCCAATTAGCACAGTGAAATGTAGTGAACTAGTGTACTGTTTTTGTAATGCCATTGTGTTTGATCTCTCCTATCATAATGATAGCATAATTGATGTAGTTCTGAGGCAAGAACCATAGGCATGTAAAAGTGCTTCTGGGGTACTAGCAAATTGGTTTTTTGGGAAAAGGCATTAGTCAAATTTGTAGCAGTATATCAAGTGCTGGAACCCATGTTGATTTGCAGCAGTAAAGACACTACTATATCTGGGGCATCTGCTTTAATTGGAATCATTACCTGATTAAATTTATGGTAGTCTATAGGCATTCTCCAGGATCCATCTAACAACATGGGCCAAGCTGCTGGTGAGTTAAATAGGGATGTGATAGGAATCACCACTCCTGTTTTTTTTGTTTGTTTGTTTTGTTTTTTAAGTATGATGGTAGCATTAACTGATTTAATTCTCCTAGTGATTTTGTATTGCTTCTGGCACAATATCTTAGTTTAGGGAGGGGAAGTTCTATGGGCTTCCACTTTGCCCTTCTTGTTATAAAGATTTATTGAGTCAGAAAGCCAATTTGAGAATTCTGCCAATCCAGGAACAAAGTAGGTCCATTGTACAAATGGGCACACTGTGAGTTGGACTTGTAATAAGCATTTTGTCTATTACCTGACTTCCTCAAGTCTTCCCTTTGACTGGTTATAGCATTTGGGTCCCTAAGAATTCTTAATCTCCCAGAGTTTTGGGTGTTTCCTTTTCTCTATTCCACATTCATCCATGTAAATGGCCTTTGGTGAAGCTTAGATAAGGAGTCCTAGATTGTATTTATGGAAATACTTGTCTTTCATCAGGTGGATCTTGGTTAACTAATTGATATGGGTTTGAAAACTAGAAAGAACTCTAGTTTCAACTCTGATTCTCAAATCAGAGTTTTCCTACCAGGGCCAGAGTCTGCCTACCTTCCTTCCTCCAATTATACAGATTGATCTGTTTGTATCATTGTAGGCTGCCTGTGGAACATGGTTATCATTAACTGCTGCCAAGGGCATTCCAAGTACTGATACAATTCTACTGTCTTTATTTCCTACGTTGTCTTTGTGATTAAGTGCTGCCAGTTCGCCTCTGCAATTCTAGGACCACATTATTCCTTTTGATTTATGGGGGTTGTTTTGTTTTGTTTTTGTGGTGCTGGAACTCAGGGCCTTGTGCATGTGAGGCAAACACTCTACCAACTGAACTATATCCCCAGTCACCATAATCCCTTTTGAAATCAGGGAACTTACTTAAGTGGTAACATCCCCCATGGTCATACTGGGGTTGTGATAGAGACCTTATAGCCTATAAAGCCTAAAATATTTACATCTGGCCTTTTATAAAATTTATCTAAGATTCCCTGTTTTACCAAAAAAAAAAAAAAATCCATTCCAGTATTTCTATCTAAGATTCCCTATTTGAGCCAGAAAACCTTTGGCATCAGTACCCCATTGAACACAGTTTATTCTCAAGTCCTAAATTTTAGTGAACCAACTGAACTGTTAAAGCTTCCTCCAGTTGCATAAGCTAATACATTTAATTTTGGAATCTTCAGTAAGTGCATTCACATTGTCAAGTTATGGCCAATGTAGTATTATATTCTACCTTCCTTGGACCAACATCCTTAAAATCTACTTCTACCTATATTCTCCAGGTTTTCGCCAATATATCATTCATTACTCTAGGTTAGAGACAGCATGCATGCACAGGTTATTTCCTTCTGGATGCTAGTGTTTCTGTCCCCCTAGGCCTTGATTAATTGTGTTACCACTATACCATGGGTTACTGGCATCCTATTTCTCACTGGCAAGGTGCTTAGCTTAGCTCGTACTTAAACTCAATAGTATGACCAAATCAATTGCCATATCCTTTGATTTAAGCCTTTCTCCTGGGAACAGCCTGTTTTTGGTAGTAATTCTGTGTTTTAGTACAGTTCAGGAAACAGAAACAGAGTAATTTGAACTAGGGAAAGCTAATGTAAAAAGTTGTTAACTAGTGTGATAGATGAACTACTAAGAGCTAAAAAGAACTCTGAAGGGGCTGGGGATGTGGTTCAAGCGGTAGCGCGCTCGCCTGGAATGTGTGCGGCCCGGGTTCGATCCTCAGCAGCACATACCAACAAAGATGTTGTGTCTGCCGAGAACTAAAAAAAATAAATAAATATTAAAAAAAAAAAAGAAAAAGAACTCTGAAGATAAGAAAACCAAAAACAGGGAAGAGCTACGACTACTTTACCCCCAAGTATGCAAGAGAGAACCTGGGGAACAAGCCCACTCCAGATTGAAATTCAGAGCTAAAACTAGAATTCACTGCAGTGTGAAGTCCCTGAGATGCCACAGACTGAGACTAACAAGAGAGAATGCTTGCTGGGTTTCCCACAAAACTCCCTAGGAAGGTAATAATAATGAAACTCATTGGAAATTTGCAGAGATGATAGCAGAACTTGCTCCTCACTTGTGGGATGCCAGTGAGACTTGGGGCAGGGAACACTAATTGGTGTCCCACATACCAGACAAGCACCACAGGAACAAGAAGGGAAGAAAATATAATGGAAATGGAAAGAAATCTCTTCCTGAAATATTCCTCCAGTGCTTACCCTAGGCATAAGAAAAATATTTAGAGGGTCCAGTTTCATTATTACAAATAGAACAGTGAAGAGTAGATTTGGAGCTGAAATACAAAACATTGCTAATGATACACTGTCTGGACACTCTAAAGCTGTTAGGCTTAGAATAAAACATAATCTCTAGATACAGTTTAGCTAGCATAAGTAGAGCTGGATACTCTCTCATTCCTGACATTCGGCTGTTTAAGTTACTTGTTTAGAAAGTTAGTTGTCTCAGGCTGTGGATTCTTATCCTTTTTATTTGCTGCATTATTCCTAGAACCCAAATGGGTAGTTAAGTGATAGTTGAACGAATAAGGGAATGCAGCCCTAGATAACATTAAAGAGTTGGTATCTTTGTTTTATTCAGTTTAGTTTTAAGAAAAACTGGAATTGGATCTGGTCAGTCAATTGAAATGTAAAATTCCAATTGGTCATAGTTAAAGAATGTCTTTGTTTCATTTGGTTAAAAGAAAATTGATCAGCTGGGCACAGTGCAACATTAGTGGGATATTTAGTGGGGTACCTGTCATCCTGCTAATTTGGGAGACTGAGGCAAAAGATTATAAGCAAGGCTAGCTTCCGCAACTCTGCAAGACCCTATTTCTCTCCCTTTTATTTATTTACTTATTTACTTATTTATTAATTTATTTATTATTTTGGCACTGAAGTTTGAACCCAGGTGTGCTTAACCACTGGGCCTTTTAATTTTTTTTTTTTTTTTAATTTTTGAGATAGGGTTTTGCTAAATTGCTAAGGGAAGCTTTGAACTTGAACTCTTCCTGCCTCAGACTCTCAAGTCACTGGGATTTATAGGACTGTGCCACCATACCCAGCTCACAAGACTCTGTTTCAAAATAAAAAAATCAAGGGCTGGGGATGTAGCTCAGTGATAGGAGCTTTCTTGGGTTCAATCCCTAGTACTGTACTGCAAAAGAAAAGAACTTTTTTTAAAAAAAAAGAAAAAGAAAAGATGACTTTCTAGGGCATTGATTGACTCTTCCTTCTTAATATTTAGTGTGTTTTTTGCATGTACCATTAACACCCTCTTCCAAAGAATGGGTTATTCTGATCAGTGAATATAAAGGAATAGATCTTGTGGGCTGGGGTTGTAGCTCAGTGGTAGAGCGCTTGTCTTGTATGCCTGAGGCCCTGGATGGCCCCTCAGCACCACATAAAAATAAATAAATAAAAATAAAGATATTATGACCAACTACTAATATATAATACTTATAATAGTACTTATAAGTACTTAATACTTACAATACTTATAATAAAAAATATTAAGTACTTAGTACTTATAATACTTAAAATATTACTTATGTTTTTATTGCATTATTTTCAGAGCAAAGAGAAAAAACTGCATCATTACTTGTAGTATTATCCTTTTATTAGGTAATAGTACAGCAAAGCTGTACAGGTTTGTTATATCTAGGATTCTAGCTTTACCTGCCTCTTTGTATAATAACAGGATATGAGGTAGAGTAGGAAAAAAAACATGCATAAGGTTGTGTTTCGTGAGAGGACAAAGGATAAAACCAATACTGAGCTGATGACTCTTTGTGCCACCTTGGGTGGAGGATCAGTCCATATATCTAGCTCCATGTCAGGAGGTAGAGGGATATGAAGAGGGTGGGCAACCAAGACCCTTCAAGGACCCACTTCATTTGCTGGCAGTCGTCTATTTTTTTTGTACTGGGGATTGAATCCAGAGGCACTTTATCACTAAACTACATCCCCAGTCAATTTATTTCTTATATTGAGGCATGTTCTCCCTGAGTTTCTGAGGGCCTCACTAAGTTGCCCATTCTGACTTTGAATTTGCAGTCTTTCTGCTTCAGCCTCCCAAGTCACTGAGATTACAGATATGTTCCCCCATGCCCAGTTGCTAACAAACTTATCAGAGTGTGAAGAAAGCCTTCGGAATCTGAGAAAATCAGAAACAGGAAAAGAGTAAATTTTTGGACATTAGTTTCCTTCTTGATTATTGTATATTTAAGTGTCCCAATAATCTTTTATAATGAGAATATTAAATATGCTTAAGTAATTTGCCCTACTTTGAAAGTGATTTTTCATCATTTTAGAGCTGTAATGTCAATAACTGTACTTGCATGGAATAAATTGATAAAGTGAATAGAAGCCATTAATTATGGTTATGGACAAGAATGCAGTTTGGTATCCTTTTGTGGTTTCTAAGCAGTTGAATTTATTTTGTTTTATTTATTTATTTTTGGTGGTACTGGGGAGTGAACCTAGGGGTATTTTTATTACTGAACTACATCCTCAGTACTTTTTAATTTTTAAAAATTTTGAGCCAGGGTCTGACTGCCTTGCCCAGGCTGCCCTTGAACTTGTGATCCTCCTGCCTCAGCCTCCCTAGTCTCAGAGATTACAGGTGTGCATCACTGCACCCAGCCCATTATTGAATTTAATTGTGGCTACTAATAAACAATTTTTCTGACTTTAAACCTAGAACATATTAACTACTTTCATAATTTAAATGTTTTCATACATATAACTTGTTTAACAGAACATGAAAGTAGAAATTGATTCATTTTGAATTATGTTCATTATGAGTTATTGACATTATGGGATTATTTTATATCTAATTAGTCTGAAAAAAAGAGCCTAGCCTAGCTTCTATATTCCTCTAATCAGAGTCGCTATGCCTTATGTCATATATATGTAGTCCTGGTTTATTTTGTCTTCTGTCTTGACCTAATTATTGACACTTTATTCTCAAGTGTCTTGACCTGCTCTGTCTAAATTTAAGCCTTTGAGTAATCTAGTTTAATATTTCTATTGTGTTATAGTGGTGGGTGTTTAGAAAAAGCATATACGTTTATTACATATTTATTTTATGCATATGTACATATATGCACATTTGTTTATTTGTTTTTAAATGTTTATTCTTAAGTTTTAGGTGGACACCATATCTTTATTTTACTTTTATGTGATGCTGAGGATCGAACCCTCTACCACTGAGCCACAACCCCAGCCCCGAATTTATTTATTTTGGGGGGTGCTGGGGATTGAACCCAGGAGTACTTACCTACTGAGCTTTATCCTCAGCTCTATCTATCTATCTATCTATCTATCTATCTGTTTATCTTTCTTTCTTTATTTTGAGACAGGGTCTCACTAAGTTGCTTAGAGCCTTTCTAAATTGCTGAGGCAGGCTTTAAATTTGCAATCCTCCGGCCTCAGCCTCCCAACCCACTGTGATTACAGGTTGCGCCACCACACACATCTCAATTATAATATTTTAATATTCAGCAAAAATATGTGAATAAAATCAATGGAATAAAAGTATTACAAAAAATAGTCTTCATTTATAGGTTGTATCTATATGAAAAACCTGGAAGAATACTAGTCTGTATTTTTATCTCCAGAAATGTTCTTCCTCCAAATTACAAGCATTTGCATTCAACAGCCATTTACAGGTACCTGCTAGGTGTCAGGCAACATAAACATATTTTATGTTAAAAATAGGCGAGTCAACAAGCGGTAGCGCGCTCGCCTGGCATGCGTCGGGCCTGGGTTCGATCCTCAGCACCACATACCAACAAAGATGTTGTGTCCACCGAGAACTAAAAAAAATAAATATTAAAAATTCTCTCTCTCTCCTCTCTCACTCTCTCTTTAAAAAAAAAAAAATAGGCGAGTCAGATTAGAGGAAGAGAGACTCTAGTACATAGTTTGATTTCTGTGGTCAATCTGATTTCATCGATCCTCACTCAACATCTTAACCTGCCCTTGCTCCTCCCCATCACCTTTCACCCTGTACTAAGAATTGAATCATTGGCCTTGCACATGCTAAGCAACTGTTCTACAACTGAGCTACATCCTCGGCCCCCTGCATATTTTTTTGAAGTAAATCCCAGGCAGCATATCATTTGATCTTTGAGGTATGTGCTCTAAAAAAATTCATTTAAGAAACATAATTATAGTACCATTAACATATACACACCAATTCTATAATATCAAATACCATAATATCACTATTCAAATTACCAATACTTTCCTCAGGTATATTGTTTTGTTTTTATTTTTATTTTTATTTTTATTTTTTTTTTTTTAAAGAGAGAGTGAGAGAGAGAAGGGGACAGAGAGAGAGAATTTTAACATTTATTTATTTTTTCTTAGTTCTTGGCGGACACAACATCTTTGTTGGTATGTGGTGCTGCTGAGGATCGAACCCGGGCCGCACGCATGCTCGGCGAGCGCGCTACCGCTTGAGCCACATCCCCAGCCCCTATTGTTTTGTTTTTAAAGTAATATTTAAGTGGCTGGTAACAGTGGTAGAACACTTGCTAAAGTCATGGGTTTGATCCCCAGCACCAAAAACAAATAAATAAACAAACTGGTTTAATTGATCATGGTGGTATATACCTCTTGTCCCAACTACTTACAAGGCTTGAGGCAGGAGGATCTCTTGATCTCAAAAGTTCTCAGCCAGCCTGGTGAACATAATAAGATCTTGCCTGTAAAAAATAAATAAAAAAGAAAAACTAGTTTATTCAAATTAAGAATCTAAATTTCAATCAGGTATGGTTCTATAGGCCTATACTCCCAGCTACTTGAGAGGCCGAAGTAAGAGGATTATGTGAGTCCAGAGAATTGGAGTCCAAACTGGGCAACACAACAAGACACCCATCTCAAAATCAAAAGCAAATTAAATTTCTTTTAATCCATAAGGTTTTTTTTTTTTTTTTAAATACTGTTTGGGTTTTGTTTGTGGTTTTTGAAAGTGTCAGAGGTTTAACTGTGTTCCTAGCCACTGGCGGAGAAGTGAAGAGAGAAGGGGGTAGGGGAAAAGCAAATCCAAGAATTTGGAGGACTGGGTGGTAATTGTGATATTAAAGGGAATATTGTACTCGTTCTTTCCTTGGAAAGGAGAATAATATATTTTTTTACATATTCTCTTGTTTAGCATTTTTTCCAGATTAAAGAAATAAAGATGGTGGGAGGGTTATACCTTTCTTTATAAATAGGAAGCAAAGAAGTAATGAAGGGGTCAGATATAGGTATAAGTTTGTGGTAGAGGAAAAAAGCAATTGAAGAATACCATTTTCTATAAAAGGACAGGTTATATTTTAGATGGAGGGAATATGAAGATGGAGAAGGGATGGTTGGCACCCAGTCGTCATGCTTACCAGACAGTAAAGGACCAAGACACTTTTTAGAAATAGAAATAGTGTGCCAATATGATAGTGAATCAGTCATCATGGGAGTCAATTAGGGTGGTGTTCACAGGTAAACACCTCTGCCTCATGGTGGCATCCTTCAACTACATCTACTCTGGAAAGCATCTGGCAGAAATTCTGGTTGAAGCAAAAGAGGCATACTGTGTGGTATTTTAGAACATTTCAAAGACAAACATGCTGGGTTGTTTGACAGTGAAAAAGAAATTGATAATCCTAAGGCCTCATGTCCTTCCTGCTGGAGACTGCTTCAGTGCCTGTGTTTTTAAGTATTGTTAGGGCTCTGAACTCATTTTTTAAACTATCTTAGTGATATAAAATCCTATTAATTTCAAATTAGGAGAGGTTAGTGATTTTTTGTTGTTGTTTATTTTTGTTTGTGTGTCTGCAAAGTGGACAAAGATACCTTAGTATCAGTACTAAATTCTAATTATAAAAAGTAGATTTGGTTGAGGATTAGAAAGGAATTAGCTTTCTTTGTTGTTGTTGTAGTACATGTATACAATACCTTTATTTTATTTATTTATTTTTATGTGGTGCTGAGGATCAAACCCAGTGCCTCACACATGCAAGGCAAGTGCTTTACCACTGAGCTACAGCCCTAAACCAGGAGTTAGCTTCCTCCTGTCACTTTTTTATTTTTTAGAAAATAGAAGTATTTTTATTTTAATTTGAAATAATTTCAAATTTGCAGAAAACTTGAAAGAATATAGGAAGAACTTTTGCTTTTCTAAAATCACTAGTTGATAACACAATTGATTTATTTTTTGTTCTGTAACATAGATACAGATGTATATCAGTTTTCCTTGTCACTTTTGTCTTATCTCTGCAGTAATAATCTAAGGTGTCCCTTACATGTTCAGAGGGATTAAACAGATTAACTAAGGTCTCTCCAAAGAGCTAGTACTAGAACTTAATCTTCTGCCTCAATTTAAGTTTTCTTTCTCCTCCTCCCCCCTTCCTCCCCTCTCTTCTTCCTCCTCCTTCTTCCTCCTTCTTTCTTCTCCTCCCCCCATGCCTGTAAATCCAGCCACTCAGGAGACTGAAGCAGATCAGAAGTATAAAAGGTGCTGGGGATATAGCTTAATGGTAGAGCTCCCCTGGGTTCAATCCCAGTACTACCACCAGAGAGAGAGAGAGAAAGAGAGAGAGAGAGAGAGAGAGAGAGAGAGAGAGAGAATAGTAAGAAGAGTAGTAGTGTTTTACATTTTTCTAAATCTCTTTAATGTAATGAGTAATTTAGTAGATCATTGCTGGATTCTCATATTTGAAAATTGCCTCTGCAATTGTGTTACAATATGTTGTTTGGATTGACTGATACATGCAGTTTAGGAGGAGGAATGTTTTGGTATTTTTTTAAAGGTAATTATGGATATTCTCTGATGTGACAATAAAACTGGACAAGTGCTAGTTTTATTACAGGTTATTTGCAATGTAGAATTTGAAACCCTATCAGTGAACTTTTTTTTGGTCTATGGAAAGGGAGAATGTACTGGGGATTGAATCCAGGGACACTTTACCAGTGGGCTACATCCCCAACCCTTTTTAATTTTGAGACAGGTCCTCACTGAATTTTGCTTAGGATCTTACCAAATTGGTGAGGCTGGCATTGCTCTTGTGATCCACTTACCTTAGCTTCCCGAGTTGCTGGGATTATAAATGTGAGCCACTGCATCAAGCCTCAGTGTACTTTTTGTAGTATGTTATTTTAAAATCCATTGGTCTGTATTGCACTTGATACCAATGTTTTCTGATGGAATTAGTCCTGGCTTTGATTCATAGATATGTTATTTGATTAATGAGTATTTTAAACTTTTAGCCATTTGCCTTTCTGTAAATGCCTTCAATTTAATGGAAATAAGAGCCATGTCAACTCCAAAGTTACTTTCATTCATTCATTCATTCATTTGTTCATTTTTATGGTAATGGTAATTGAACATGGGCAGTATACCACTGAGCTGCATCCCCAGCCCCTTATTTATTTATTTATTTATTTATTTATTTATTTATTTATTTATTTATTTATAAATAAATTATGCATGCATTGAGCCCAGGGCCTTGTGTATACAAGGTAAGCCACTCTCCCAACTGAGCTATAACCCCAGCCCCGCCTTTTCAGTTTTCCATTTTGAGAAAAAAGATCTCTCTGGATTCCCAGGACTGGTCTCTAACTTTTGATCCTCCTGTCTCAGCCTCCTGAGTAGCTGGTATTACAGTCGTGCGCCACCCCCACCCCACTCACTTCTGCTTTCATAGGAAAACCAATGTATCTAAGGATGACTGATGGTGAAAGTAAGGGTTGTTTCCATTGTATTGTGTAAATTGCTTCTTGTTTAGAATTACACTTCTTATTCTTTCCTTGAAATAGACTCTGAGCAGAGTACAATTGTGTTATTTAAAAAAAAAAATCCGGGCTGGGGATGTGGCTCAAGCGGTAGCGCGCTTGCCTGGCATGTGTGCGGCCCAGGTTCGATCCTCAGCACCACATACCAATGAAGATGTTGTGTCTGCCGAGAACTAAAAAATAAATATTAAAAAATTCTCTCTCTTTCTCCTCTCTCACTCTCTCTTTAAAAAAAAAAAAAATCCCACACTTATTCCGAAGGCTATCGTTATCATAAAGTACTTTGCCTGCCTTTGCTAAGGAGTTTTAAGAATGAAATCTAGGTCATCATCATTGAATGCAGATATGGGAATAAGCCTCTGTCAAACCTGTTCATTAATGGTACTGATAGCTGGAGGCTGGCTATTTTGAATGTAGCCTCTTAGACAGAGCCACTCAAGCTACAGCACCACTCTGGAAAGTAGAAATCTGCAGACTCTCACATCTGAATACCAGACCTGCACGTTCCTTCTCCAGAAAGTCTCAAAAAGAGTTGGGGATGAAGCCCAGTGGTAAAGTATCCCTGGGGTCAATCCCCAGTTACTTCCCCCTCCCTCATCAAAAAAGAAAAAACAATGGGAAAGATAGCCACTGGCAGCCCAAATATATCATTATGGTTCAAATTTCTGCAAAGGACTTTGGGCCTGCTTGTATCACAAGTACATTCCTTTGGATATGGATGCAAAATACCATGATTGACAACACTAGGACCACCTGGAGAGAGATGGGCTGGTTCTCTTTTAGGGAATGCAGATAGACAAATCTTGGGTTCCACTCTGTTTGGCCTGTGAAGCACTAGTCATCCTCTAGCTCCCCTTTATGAAGAACTATTGTCCTCCATAAGTGTGTTCCAGCCAAAATGGTATGCTCCTTATTTTCCCATTCATGCCCATGGGCTTAAAAACAGATACTTTGCTATGCTCACTGTGTGTCTTCCACCGACTCCCAGCTCAAAGTACATAGCCTTCTAATTGTCTTTTCAGGTTCAGCTATGTTCTGATCTACAGGAAGTATTTCTAGATCATCCCATGACCATATCATGTGACCATTCTTTAAACCCCAGTAGCAGCACTTAGTACCTGCTATTGTAGATGCTTATCCCCTATAATCCATACTAATGGTAGGATTAGCAATAATTTTACCATGTTTGTCACAATTTTCTGAGTACTTTAACATATCCCCTTTCAACCTTTATGAAGTAGGTAAAGCAGGTATTAGATATGAAAACTGAGGCTTACAGAGACTTGCATCATCAGAAACCCTCAACTACACAAATACCACTTCTTCCATAGTGTATAAGCACAATATAATTATAGTGGTGATGGGGGTGATCTGAACTCCATGACAGCAGGGTTTTTCTTCATTTTTGCTGCTTTTTCACCAGTGCCTGATTCAAAATATTTAAATACATAAATGAATTATTGGGACAAATGTGGTATGGGTTTACTCCTTTGGGTCCTTTCTACTCCAGTGTTCTGAAGTTACCATTGAGAAAGCAGATAAGGAAAGTAGCGGGAGTATGAAATAGAAGTCATCACTAATTTCTCCTTTGTTAGTAGCATATAAACTATGAGCAGCATAAATATTGTTCATAAAGAAGCAGCCTGTCAACCATTTAGAATAAAATTAGGTAATTATTATTGATATTTCTTATTAAAAAATTTTTTTTAATTTCCCATGAACAATTCTAATTTTTTTCTTCATTAGAAAACAACAGATATGAAAATAGACTAAGCATTAAAGGGGTCTGGGGTTGTGGCTCAGTGGTAGAGCACTTGCCTAGCACATGTGAGGCACTGGGTTCAATTCTCAGCACCATATAAGAATAAACAAAGTAAAGATATTGTATTTGTAAAAAAGTATTAAAAGGATGTAAATTTAAGGAAAACTTGGATGCAAAGCCCTAATCTACATTTTTAAGAATTGTTTTACATTTCTTGGGCCCGTTAACTCAGCTGCCTAATCATCAGTGGATTCGTTCTTGTTTCTCCTAAGAATTTTACCCAGTGCTTGACTCTGTTGTTTCAGTCAGCCTTCAGATTTCTTCTTTGCATTTTCTAAAAATAAATGTGACCTATAAAAAATTGGCCCTATATGTTTGCTGAAATAGTAATTACATTAGTATTATAGGAAATTAAAGCACACAGTTAACCCAATTCTACCACAGCTCTGTGGAACTTAGATTGAAATGCTCTTTGAAGTTTGCTCTCTTGCTGCTGAAGGAGGGACAAAAAAAGACATAACACTTGAAGAGAGAACAAAAGTAGGCAGTGGGTAAAGGGGGACTTTGATGGAATGGAGATGATGCATTTAAACCTTCTGGAGGTTCTTAGACATAAATATGCAGGACCACACTGCATGATCTTTAAGTCTCCTTTGCCATTTCAGTTGATAGACAATATATCAGAAATATATTGCTTCATTTTTCTTTTCCCCCTGATCTTAAGTTGTGTCTTAAGAAAAGGCATACTTATTTTGTTCTTTGGTTATTTATTAAATTCATTGTAAATGTTTATCGATGGAGTATGATGATCAGTTTCTATCTTTAAAAAAGACACTTGTAAGCCAGGCATTGTGGCTCATGCCTGTAATCCCAGTGGTTTGAGAGGCTGAGACAGGAGGATCACGAGTTCAAAGCCAGCCTCAGCAAAAGCAAGGTGTTAAGTAACTCAGTGAGACCCTGTCTATAAATAAAATACAAAAAAGGACTGGGGAGGTGAGTCAGTGGTTAAGTGACCCCGAGTTCAATCCCCGATAACACTTCTCCTTCCCACAGAAAACAATCTAGGCTTCCAATACTTACTTACTCAATTAATTAATTTATTTATTTTGGCTGTGTTAAGGATTGAACCCAGGGCTGTTCACTGAGCTACATCCCCAACCCTTTTATTTTTTATTTTGAGAAAGGGGACTTGGGTTCCTCCTGCCTGAACCTTCTGAGTAGCTGTGATTACAGGTGTGTGTCACCATGCCTGGCTTTCTTTCTATTTTTAAATTTAAAAATATTTTCTCAAAGATGTTAACCAAATGTGATTGTGTCGTATTGTTCTTCCTATAGTAATTTACAGAAACTCTTCTCTAGTAATTTGCTTTGTGTCTGTATGTTAAGGGTCTCCAACTGAATTCCTCGAAGAGAAAATGGCCTACCAGGAATATCAGAACAGCCAGAACTGGCCAGAAAATACAAGCTTTTGCTTCCAGCCTGAGCAAGTGGTGAATCCTATCCAGACTGGTAAGCAGGAGCTCATATGTGACTGCTAAATGTGAGCTATGATAAAAAAACAAGAACAAAGTGGCAACCACCACTCAAATAAAACATTATAGCCTACATATAATTTCTTAACGTTCAACTACGGTAGAATAATTTCCCCTAAACATCAGTTGACCCTTTATGTACTGTTTGTCTTTTCTTCAGAGATACTTAATGCCCAACAATTCTCTCCCTTTCAGAACCTGTTTTGAATAAATACCTGAAATGCATATACATTAGAAACTAAAGGATCAGCAGTGTCTTAGAAACTTTTAATTCTTCTAGAAGGAATTATTACACTATTAATAATAGTGCCTGTTTTGTGCCAGGCACCGTGCTGGAGCCTTTATACATATTATCTGGGTTTCTTACCTCACTCTGTCAAATACATATTATTATCCTTGTTTGATGAAGAGAAAAATGATTAATACTAATTTCTATAAAATTCAAATACGAAAAAATATGGAAAAGCAGATCTGTAGTTGCCCAAAACCAGAGGTGGTAGGAGACATGAATTGTAAAAGGGCTTTGTAGGAGTAACATTGCTACCTTGATTTCAGCCTGATTGAGAGCTTAGGTTATTTGCCAGACTGTTTTCCAAAGTGACTGCCACATTTTACACCAGTAACGTGTGAGGTTTGTAATTCTTCCACATTCTAACCAACACTTATTTCCCTTTATAAAAAATTATAGCTAACCTAGTGGATATGAAATTGTATCTCCCACTATGTGGGTGGTCTTCTAACTTTCTGGGTAGTATCCTTTGATGCATAACTTTTTTTATTTTTATGAAACCCAGTTTATTCATTTTTCTTTGTGTTACTTGTGTTTTTTATGTCATCAGTCTATTTTCAAAACTAGGTTTATGAAGGTTTATCACTGTGTTTTGTTCTTAAAATGTTAGTTTGTGTTGTTATGTTTAAGTCTTTGATCCCTTTTATGTAGATTTTTGTATATGATCAGAGGTAGGAGATTCATTCTTGTTCATGTGGATATCCATTATCCCGCTTCCATTTTTTGAAAAGACTGGTCTTTCTCCATTAAATGGTTTTTGCACCTTTGTTGAAAATCTGTTAATTGTAGGTACATGGTTTTATTTCTCAACGTGGAGTTCTATTTCATGATTATTTTTTTTTTAGAGAGAGGGGGACAGAGAGAAAGAGAGAATTTTAATATTTATTTATTTTTTCTTAGTTCTCGGCGGACACAACATCTTCGTTTGTATGTGGTGCTGAGGATCGAACCTGGGCTGCACACACCCTAGGCGAGCGTGCTACCGCTTGAGCCACATCCCCAGCCCTATTTCATGATTTTTGTGTCAGTATAGTTTGCCCTGCATACCCACAGGTTCTACATCCAAGGATTCAACCAACAGTTGATGATAATATTCAGAGAGAAAAAAAAATTACATCTATACTGAACATGTCAGACATTTTCAAGTTATCATTATTCTCTAAGCAACTCATTATAATGATTATTTACATAACATTTACATTTAGAAGGTATTATGAGTAATGTAGAGATGATTTAAAATTTGCAAAAGGATGTGTATAGGCTATATGAAACTTCTGTGCCATTTTATATGAGGGACTTGAGCATCCACGGATTTTGGTATGGGGCCACATGTCCTGGCACCAATCCCCCTTGAAAGTTGTGTGTGCACTTTACTGTAGTTTTTGGTAATTTTTGTGATTGTGAGTTTCCTTTTCCCATGATTGTTTGAGACACTCAGCCCTTTGTAATTCCATAGAATCATATTGTCAATTTCTACAAAGAAATTGGCTGGAATTCTAAGAGAAAATGTGCTGAATCTGTGGATTAATTAGGGAGTATTGCCCTCTTGACAATATTAAGTCTTCTATTCACGAGCATTTAAAGTTTTTCCATTTGTTTATTTTTCATTTACCTTACAGTATTTTGTAGTTTTGAGTGTATGAGCTTGGTTAAATTTATTCTTGGTATTTCATTCTGTTCGATGCTGTGAGTGGATTTGTTTCCTTAATTTCATTTTCAGATTCTTCATTGATTTTTTGTTTATTGATCTTATATCTTTCAATCTTGCTGAACTCATTTATCAGGTCTAATAGTTTTTCAGGAATTCCTTAGCATTTTTTAAAGGCAAAATCATGTCATTTACAGAACTAGAGTAGCCCTTGCTTACCTACAATTTTAGCTACCTGCAGTCAACTGCAGTCTGAAAATATCAAATAGAACATTTCAAAAATAAGCCCTTCGCATATTTTAACATTTTTATTATACTATGTTATTATGATTGTTCCATCCCATAACTTATTATTGTCAGTCTCTATTGTGCCTAATTTATAAATTATCATGGATATGTGTTTGTAGGAAGAGCCACAGTATAGAGAGATAGCATCCAGTCTCCAATCTCTGTGTGTTTTGTAGGTACCCTTGATCAGGTTAAAAAAATTTCCTTCTTTCCTTCCCTAATTTATTTATTTTTATTGTTTTTTTTTTGGGGGGGGGGCTGAACTCAGGAACACTTGACCACTGAGCTACATCCCAGCCCTATTTTAAATTTTATCTAGAGACAAGGTCTGAGTTGCCTAGCGCCTCAAAGTTGCGGAGGCTAGCTTTGAACTTGCAATCCTCCTGTCTCAGTCTCTCAAGCCACTGGTTCTACAGGCATGCACCACTGGGCCCAGTCCCCTTTTGTGTTTTAAATATTTTTATTTTTATTTTGAGATAGGATCTTGCTAAGTTGCTGAGGGCCTTGCTGAGTTGCTGAGGTTGGCCTCAAACTTGTAATCTTCCTGTCTTAGCTTCCCACGTTGCTGGGATTATAGGTGTGTACCACCATACCCAACTTTATTGTGTGTTTTATCTTAAGAGGGTATTGATTTTGTCTAATAGATTTTCTGCATCTGGTAAGGTGCTCATGTTTTTATTTTTTATTCTGATGATACATTGATTTTGGGTATTAAACCAATGTTGTACTTCTGAGATATATCCCTCTTGGTCATGTTGTAGAATTTTTTAAAATGGGTTCCATATATAAACCCTTGAGGAGTTTTGAAGCCATATTCAAAGACATAGTGTGTAGTTTTCTTGTGATGTCTTTGTCTAGTTTTGTGTAGGTAATACTGTTCTCAGAATGAGTCGGGAAGTGCTTTCTCCTCTTATATTTTTTGGAAGATATTGTGAATAATTGGTTTTAGTTCTTTGAATTTATGATAGAAGTCATTGGTAAAACCATTTTGGCCAGGCCATCTTTGTGAGTACTTTTTAATTACTAATTCCAGCCAGGAAGAATAGGAGCCAGCAAGGGTGATTCCCAGTTCTAAGTGGGAGATAAAACAGTAGAATTTAATTTCCTGAAAGTCAAGTATGGTGCCCAGCCATCAAGATGGCTCTCAATGGTCCCTGCCTCCTGGTATTCATAACCTTATATAGCCGTCTCCACATTAAACTAGGCTTGGTGTGTGTGATTGATAGATCACAGAAGACATTGCAATTTCCATTTTTGTCACTCCTAAATTTATTCACCGTGGGGAAAGCCATTTGCTAAGGAGAAGTACACATGGAAGAGGAACTGATACCTTCAGCCCATGGCTGTGTAAATAAGCCATCTTGATGGCAGGCAGATCTTGCCAGGCAACTCTTCAGATGAGCATAGCCATGGCCAGTGGCTTGACTGCAAACTTGTTGAGACTTCCTAGTCAGTAGAGACCCAGAAGAAATAGATTCTGGGGGATAGTTTCAAAATCAATTCTGCCAGTTTTCTAATGAATCAAATGTGTGAAATTCAGAGGTCAAGGATAACTTCAAGGATAAGGTCAAAATTGTTTACCAACAAGAGAAGGATAGAATGCCATTTCATATGGTAAGATTTTGTGTTATACCAGTATGTAGGGTCCAAGAAGGTCCCAGAGAAGGGGACTTCAACTTAGGTCAGCATGGTCCAAAGTTGGACATAAACAAATGGCATAGAAAAGAATTTCTCAATCCATCAAATATTGAGGCACCGAGATTTATTTAGAAAAGTAAGGAGAGTACACATTCAAGGGAGAACATGCACCACCTCACTAATGAGAGACACTTGAGAAATCTCACATTCTTTTAAAGGAAACTGGGTAAGGGGTGGGCATAAAAAGGTATGTGAGAATAACATCAGTCTGGTGAGCTCAAGATGGTCATGGTGATCTGGCAAATTCAGGATTCTTAGGTTGATATCTTTTTCATTATCTGATCAAAAGGTAGGGTTGGGAAAGTATCCTATACTGTTTTGTATCTTCCTTTGTGCAATATATTCTAAAAAATACATGTATTAGTGGGCTAATTAGTGAACATGGGGCAGTTTTCACAAATGGTTGAATTTCTAGTAATTGTGAGTGAACATTTATAGAATTCTCAGAAATCTTGGAGTGATAGACCTGGAAAGAGAGAACTGCTTGGGGAATGAAGGTCTGAGGAACTTTAGCACAAGATTTTCACATTAAAGTTGTCTTTTCCCTCTTCTTCCTTTTGTCTCCTTCCTATCTCTTTAATTTCTGTCCTGTCTCATGGAGAATAGGTTTGAGAAACATGTTGCATTTGGGATGTATTAAATGAAGAGTTGGGGTATATTAAATACTTTGAATACTTTACCACTCTACCTCAGTTGTAGATTATGTAATTTGCACACATGGTTTTCCATCCATTCTTAGCATGTGCTTGCACACACATGGGCACATACATAGAGGCCCTTTTATTTTAAAGGCTGGAAATAAGGGGATAGCTCTAGAGGGCTAGTGATAAAATTTTGAGTGTCATCTGCTTATTAATGAAATTTTAAACTGTGAGATTGGATGAGAGGGAATATAGAGAAAGGTGTGCCCTTCTCCATCCACTCAGTTCTCAAATTTAGCTTAAGAATTTTTCAAGCTTGACTTGAACAAAAATATATCCTTTTGCTAAATGATCCTATCTCTGACCTTGCATAACAGATGTTACAGCCAGATTGCCTTTACATCCTTCCCTGTTTATTTGAAAGGCAACCTCAAGGCTTCTTCCACCCCGACCCCAGCTTTGTCAATTATGCCTTCTAATTATTCCAAATACGCTTTCAGTGCAGTATCTGTCTCCTCTAATCCTGAAACCCTTTATAAAAAGAGGGGTGGTCTAGCTGTCTCAGAGCCAAGGAAATGAACATTTTCCCAAGACCTGGGTTTTTACATACTTGCCTCTGATGTTGACAGTGTGTTAGGGAGTCATGCATTAGCTTCATCAGAGGAAATAGTTAGACATGCAGGCTCTCAAGACATGGAAACAGAATTTGAGAAGGCCTTCTTAGAAATCAGAATTCATTATTTCCCTGACCAGCTTTGCTTTTTTATGTTTTCATGTAAGAAAGCACAAAGAGTTTACTGATGTTTTTGAGTATCTTCACTCATACCAACTCCTGAATCTAGAGCTTATTCATTCTCTCAGGACAAACGCCATTCAGAGAGCTTTTGAAATACAGTTTTCTTCACAATGTCCACATGAGGTGAAAATTTCCCTTTTTAAACTTGTTCTGAAAACATTCTAGCTGATTTATTTAATAACAAAATCTCTAAATTATATATTGAAAATTCCATTTTCTTTATTTTTGCCTCTTAGAATGTTAGAGTTGAACATTAAATGTTCTCTCAGTTTTATACATTTGTTGGCTCTGTCATTTAGATAATCAAACCTTACGGGAATAAGGGATTATATATTATTAACTTGAAACAAATGAATTAGTGAGTATTTATTGATTGCCTACATGTGTAGTCACATGTTATCTCAACTTATTTTACTACTGGACAACACACATGTAACTAATCAACATTTGTCATAAGAAATTTTTTTACCTTTCTAATTGCATTCACTGGGACTGAGTTTTGGATTACTTCTTTATTCTAGATCCCTTTAAGATGCACCATGATGACGGCCTAGCAGATTTGCTCTTTCTCTCCAGTGGAACAACAAATGATTTGACATTTACAGGGCATAATAATCCTTTGGAAGAGAGTTACGGTATGGCTTCTCTAGCTGGAATTATTCTGTAGGGAAGAAAAATTAATTTTCCTTCTTAGATTTATTGCTTAGGGCACATATAGCAAAAGAGAAAAAGAAAGTGAAGATTAACATGTATATTTCGTATACACAAGGAAGGTATTTGGGGAATGACTAATCTCAAAGAAGTGGCTTTAGAACTCAATTATATAGCTTCTTTGATAAAAAGCCATACTTTTTTTGAGAATTAGAAAGATAAAGGAAAAGGACTTTTCAGGGTCTTTAGTGGCAAACTCTGAGGGTGCAAGTAGGTGATAAAGGCTAGTGAGTAAAACTTGTTATGTAGATTCCTGTGGTGACATCTCCAGGCTGATAAGAGCATACAGTTGTCTTCAGTAATCAACCTTTGTACTTTAAGATGCAGAGGGTGAATGAACACTTTTGAAAGTATTTGTCCTGCTTTTAGGCAAATAGGAGGAAAACTAAGAAGAGTTGGGTTTTGTGTTGTTGCTATTTGTTTTTTTTTTTTTAAGAGAGAGTGAGAGAGAGAGAGACAGAATTTTTTAATATTTATTTTTTAGTTTTCGGCGGACCCAACATCTTTGTTTGTATGTGGTGCTGAGGATCGAACCCAGGCAGCATGCATGCCAGGCGAGCCCCCTACCACTTGAGCCACATCCCCAGCTCCTATTGTTTTGTTTTGTTCTTCATGTCTACTTCTCAATTGACTTGCATTCAATGTAATCTTATGCCAAAGTGGCCTATTTAGGTGCATATTCTGGTCTCTTATAGCCCCTTAGCTTCAATAATATGGGCTTTCACCCATCATCTTTCATGTTAACTAATAGGCAAAATCAGATGTAGGGCCTCTGACTGTGACCAGGCTTATTCCAGATTAAAGAGGAGAATTCACAGTCAAGCTATGGACATCCTCTCATAAAACCTCTAACCTAGGGCCAAATTCTGCATCCACATTTTATTCACTCATGACCCATGACCTTGAGCAAATTACTTCCTCCCTAAATTCTTTTTTTTTTAATCTACAAAACAGCCAGCACTAGTTTTTACATTAGAGAAGTGATGACAATTAAATAAAATTATGTGAAACACTTAGCATTGTGTCTGGTAGAGTAATCATTAAATAATCTTAGTTATCATAAATAGTAATATCCTCATCTCCTCCTGTTTGCATCTTTATGCTTTCTTTGCTCAGAGTGTTCTCTGTCTTTGAAATTGACCATCCTCTATTTCTGCTCTTGCTTCTCTTCTAAAGCCTTTTGTGATAGTCTGGGCCTCATGGTTCTTTCTGCACTCCTATATCACTTAGTTCATAATGTACAGTATGCATTGTTTGCTATTTGTCTACTTGTCTCTGTAGCTAAATTGTAATAATCTTCTCAGATGTGGTGGCATATGCCTATAATCCTGGCTACTCAGGAAGCTGAGACACGAGGCCAAGAATTTGAGGCCAGTCTGGCAACATAGCGAGACCCTACCTCCTAAAAATAAGCAAACACAAAAACATATAATGATCTCAGCAGGGACAGATATTAAATCTGTTGAGACTGGCATAGGATAAGCATTACAATAATCTACTTATATTTGTCATTTGCCGTGTGTGTGTGTGTGTGTGTGTGTGTGTGTGTGTGTGTTTTTCTGGGGGTTGTCCTGGAGACCAAATCCAGGGATGCTTTACCTCTAAGCTACATCCCCAGCTCCTTTTATTTTGAGACAGTCTTGCTAAATTGTTGAGGTTGGCCTGGTATTTGCAATCTTCCTGCCTCAATCTCCTGAGTCACTGAGATTATAGATAAGTACCACCGCATTCAGCTAGTTGTTAATAATTAACAAAATATTTTTATATAGGCAGGTGTTAATCTCATTTTACTGATGAATTAAGGCTCACCTTTCTATACTGTACATTATATTATTTTGATTGTGGTGTTACTAGAGCTCAATCTTTGATATTTTGAATCTTTGTAAAATCCTGTAAAAGTAGGCAATATATATTGATTCGTGGTCTTCCTGGGATATAGTGATGCTGCCTGTTAATAATTACACAAAACCTGAAGATTGTTAACAGAGTTTCATTTAAAACTTTTGTACTTTGTTTTTTACTGTTCCTTAGACCTATGTCTTCTTGGCAATATATACAGTTGATTTAAAATATCAAATGCCTTTTTTTCCTTCAGTGTCAACCAAATTTCAAAATGTGTTTTGTGTTTTGATATTAGGTATGCCTCCCTGTGACACATTTGCTCCTGCAACTGTTGTACCTCAGGGGTGGTCTATGGAAGCCCCAAACCCTCCATACTCAGAGTCCTTTGTTTCTCCAGAGGCCACTGCAAATCTTCCACAGATGACAGGTGAATTATTTAAATCTGCTTTATCAGTTAGTAATTGAAATATTGATAATTGGTATAAATCATTGGGCATATTTTTAGCAGCTTACAAGAGACACATAAAATTTTCAGAATTATCATAAATGGTTTTTAAGCTTGTATTAAAGATATCAGAGCTGGGAGAGTTAAATTATAATTAAAATACAATCTTAAGAGGAAATCCCTTCTCTTTGGTTCTGGGAATTGAACCCAGGTTTACTTAACCACTAAGCCTAGAGTTCTGGGCTTCTTTTCTTAATAGGAAAGATAACTGACCAGCAATTCCATAGGTTCTCTTCCTAATACTAATACTAATACATACCTGTGTTTTCAAGCTATAGTTTTCATTTTCTCCTCCACAATTTGTCTTCTCAGTTTCATATGTCTTATCCTTCTAAATGATGGGATTGTCAGGGAGTAGGCAGCATGTACTAACTCAACAGCTTTTTAAAAAATATTTATTTTTTAGCAATACATGAACAAAATATGTTTATTTTATGTGGTGGTGAGGATGAAACCCAGGGCCTCACGCATGCTAGACAAGTGCTGTACCTCTGAGCTATAACCCCAGCCCCTCAACACCTTCTTAATTATGTTTAAGGTCTTAAGGTCACAATAGCCAAATATTCTTGTGCCCTATGAGTTTTAAGTGCAGAGGTATGAGTAGAAAATGATGGGTCCCAAATTTTTAATTTATTTCCCTTAGAGTTACCCAAGGAAGGAGAAATGGCATCAGTAGAAGAACAGCCACCAACTAAAGCATTGGAAATAATAGTAGGACAGAAGACTACAGAAATGGCACCGTCTGGAGAAAAAGTGGTAGCCCTGCTCAAGGAAATGGCACCCGCCAAAGAAACAAAGGTGGAATTGACTAAAGATATGGAACAACCCACCAAATCAGATGTGACACTGCCCAAGGACTTGCAGTCATCCATTGAATCAGATATGTCTCTGGTCAAGGACATGGTCCTACCTATAGAAAAAGAAGTGGTCCCAGTTAAGGATGCCATATCACCCGCAAAAACAGATGTGTCTTTAACTAAAGATATGGTGCTGCCCACAGAAAGAGAGGTGGCTGCAGGCAATGATGTGACACTATTTGAAGAAACAGAGAGAGTACCACCTGTAAAAATGGATTTATTTTCACATGAGGGCATGGCATCACCCAAAGAAACAGAGTCAATCTCAGGCAAGGGTATGGTATCATTTTCAGAAATGGAGGGGGCACTAGCTGTGGACACTATATCATCCACAGAAAAATCCTCAGCTGAGGAGATGGTCTTGTTATCAGAAAAAGAGGTGGCTGTGCCAAGGGACATGACACTGCCTTCAGAAGCAACAGTAGTCTTCACGAAGGATGCAGTAGAAACAGAAGGGCCTGGAGACAAGGACATTACTCCACCTTCAGTAACAGAAATGACCATGGGTAAAGAAGTGGCTCTATCCCCAGAATCAAAGGTGGGCCTTGTCAAGGATGTGGCTCCACTCCCAGAAACAGAAGTAACCCTGGTCAAGAATATGGGTACACCCTCTGAAACAAAGTTGGCCCTGGGTAAGGATGTGGCTGTGTCTCCAGAAGTAGAGGTGGCTCAGGTCAAGGATATGACTCCACTCCCAGAAAACGAAGTAACCTTGATCAAAGATATGCTACTGCCTCCAGAAGCAGATGTGGCCCTGGCTAAGGATGTGGCTCTGTCCCCTGGAACAGAGATGACCCTGGCCAACAGTGTGACTCCAGCCAAGGATGTTGCACCACCCTCAGGAACAGAGGTGCCATCAGTTCTAGTTAAAGACATGGAAATTGCCCAGACTCAGGAAGGAATAAGTGAAAATTCCCAGATACAGTCTCTCCAAAAAGAGGGGCAGTTAGCTGCACCTACTTTCATGATTTCACCAGGTATGAGCTTTGTTTCCTCTCAGTATTTCTGTTTACCAAGGTATAGTTTCAAGTGGACACTATATCATCCACAGAAAAATACTCTCTTACCCACATGTGATCTTTACTATTACCTTCCAGAAGACTAAGGGACAGGCATCATGCCAGTTAAAATAGTCTCACTGTGCCTTGCAAATCTATTCATATTCCTACTCTCCTAGACAGCTCTTTCTTACCTTTACCCTCCTCCTACCTCCAATACCTTATCAATCTGCTGATCTTCCTATTTTCCAGATAATTGCAATAAAATAAAACACCCACAATCGTCTGTTAGCTTATCTATACAGTTTGTATCTGTATCCATAGACTCTGACTTCTCTCCTGTTTGTTTGTTTTTTTTAATTTCATATGTATACATATATTTAAGTTGTTCATGGACCTTTATTTATATGTGGTGCTGAGAATCGAACCCAGTGCCTCACTCATGCCAGGCAAATGCTCTACCACTGAGCCACAATTCCAGTCCCTGTTTTTTTTTTTTTATTTAATTTATTTTTTAGTTGTAGGTGGATACAATACCTTTATTTTATTTATTTTCATGTGGCGCTGAAGAGCGAACCCAGGGCCTTGCACATGAGAGGCAAGTACTCTACCACTGAGCCACAACGCCAACTCCCTCTCCTATTTTTATAACTGTTCCTGCTCCTAATTAAGGCCAACCTCTCCTCTCATTTTTCCTTTTCAAGTCAAGTATCCTGCCCCAGCCATTAGTTTGTTTTCTGCCATTTCACTGAATTATTCCCAACTTAAAAGAGTTTGTCATTTTTCCCATCTTGAAAGATAGAAACAGAAACTCTCCTGACTACTTCTTAACCTGCTCTTCATCTCTGCTGCCTATTGTAGGAGAATTCCTCAAAAATGATTGCCACCTTTAATTTCTCATGGGTGGAAAAATATCTGAAATAGTTACTCTCTTACCCACATGTAATCTGTACTATTACCTTTAGAACCAGTCATAGCCTCGGGCCAAAAGGACAACTTGCCAGAATCTGTGTTAGAGAAATTAGAACAGAAGAAACCATTCAGCTGTCAGCCTTCTGAACTTTCTTCAGAGACCTCAGGTAAGTGGAGAATACCAAATGGACTCTCAAACAGCTTAAACTAGGAGCGATTGAAGTGATGTTGGTAGACATTGTCCCTGCTTTCCTCGTTCTCACTGATCTTCCTGTTTTCCAAATAATTGAAGCACCTAGAGTTACTATTATATTGTAACCTGAATAGAAAGAGAAGTTCCCAGGCATGAACTCTAAAACAAAGACTTACATAATAATTGAAGAAAATAGTGTAAGTGATGGCATCAAGTTGCTGCTGATTAATTCCTAAATTAAGTGTAATAAATACTGTGAGGTGCTATGGCTCACAATTTTTTGAGAAAAATCTAAAATTAACCTGAGATATTAAGGATTTAGAGGACATTGGAGGGATGAGGACAAAAACAAAAGGTGCTAGTTAAGTATTTTGAAATCATTTTATTGGGTCATACTTGACAGGAACCATTGAAGACTGCCTTTAGTGATTTTCTTTCCAGGAATTTGGATCCAAATTGTGTTACTTCATGAAACTTTTCCAAGGGTGCTTGCCCTAACTGTTGAAATTCTTTTCAGCTTACAATCATTATGCATATATCTTTGTCTTTTGGGAAGTACATTTAAGAACAGAACATTGAAATCTAACACATTTGTCTTTCAAAGTAGGATGTTCTGGTTCTGGAATGATAAGAATTTTTCTCTGGCCAAAATACTCTTTAGTCTTTTTTTTTTTTTTTTTTTTTAATTTTAAACAGCATAAATCTGGCCTTCTGGGTCTGTTTCCCAGAATCAGTCTAGTTCATTGGATACACATAAGTATAATATTGGTGACAGACTCTCAGAATTATAAATTCTGTCCCAAATCATGAATAAGTATTCATTCAATTAGTGAACATCACCAAAAAAGAAATAAGTACAATTTCTTATCTTGTTTAGAATTGAGATTTGTGTACCTTTTAATAATTACAAGGAGAAATAAATCAGATGAGATTTATAAGCAGTGAGTGAGTTTATTACAGAGGTTAGAAAGTTTGAAATATTTTGCTGGGCACAGTGATGCACATCTATAATTCTAGTGGCGGGGGAGGCTGAGTTAGGAGGATCACAAGTTCAAAGCCAGCCTCAGCAAAGGTGAAGTGCTTAGCAACTCAGTGAGACCCCTGTCTCTAAATAAAATATAAAATAGGGCTGGGGATGTGGCTCAGTGGTCGAGTGTCCCTGAGTTCAATCCCTGGTAACAAAAATGAAAAAAGAAAAGTTTGAAATATTTTGTAAATGTGTTTGAAAAAAAATTCTTACCTGAAATGGTAATCCCAATTAAGAATAAGAAATGTTTGGGAATAAATGGTTTTCCTAAAGAAATTAGTATATGGATTGGTGGAAACAGACTGCTTAAATGAGTCACTAAATGAACTCTTGTTGTTTTTTTCTTTTTTTAAGAAAGAATAACAAGAAGCTTGTTATTTAGAATTTTAGCCAACTTCATGTATTGCAGGTGCCCCTCCCTCACAAGGCACACAAGGTTGCAGATCCAGTGACTGCAGGTCAGCCCAGCCCAAGCCTACCAGGGCCCCTCCTGAGCTGCTGAAAGTCTTGACTCCACAGAAGACTCTTGATCCCAGGCTAGGCCCTTTCCCTTTGTGTGAGTCGGGTTGGGTCTCTGGTTCATCTTCCTGTGGTTATCCTGGGAACCAAAGGAAAAGTATTCATGCTGACTTCCTTGAACCCCAGAGGGATCTCGGCAGGGAGGCCTGGGATATAGAAAGCATGCCAATGGCGATGAAGAAAAAGAAGAAGAAACCAAAGCAAAAGAGATATTCTCAACCCCGGGCTGGGGGATCTTGGAATGATGACAGTGCAGAAGGGCATAACAGTTATACCCATAAATCAGGTGTCCTCCCTAGTCAGTCCACTGCTGTGAACATGGAATATGGACTTGTATCCAGAGAGAATCTGAAAAGAGGAGATGGAGGTGACTCTAGAGCAGCCAAACTAGAAGGTGAGAACTTTATCTCAGAGAGTCTCAGAGTTACTTTGTGTCCAGAAGAATCTCCAAAAACTGCAGAAAATTCTCAGTCCAAGCTGAGAGTAGAGGAACGCGACAGAGGAAACAAATCAGTGCCACATAACCAAGATAAGAAATTGTTGCAGCCGGATGAATACAAAACACAACCTGCACCCCTCCTGAAGACCCCTGTGGATAAAGGCCAGATAGTAGGCCTTCCTAACTTGACAGGATCCCTGACAGAAATTTCTGAAAATAAAGCTGAAACTCTTTTGGAGATCAGATCTAAAGAGGCTCGCTCTCCTATCTTGAACCAAGAGGTTGTGGATGGAGTTTCAAAACCTATAGCAGCAAAAGAATTGCCTAATTTGATACCAACTTTGATAGCAAGTAATCCATTAGAAGATAGTCTCAAAGAAGAGAATGATGAAAGTAAAATGTCTAAACTACAGAATGTCAACCAGAAAGTGTTTCTTAAAAGATCTGTAGAAGTTAAAGAACTAGAAAGGGAAGCATTTCCCAAGCAAAGAGAGGAAATCAACATCTTGGCTTCTGAGCAGCTGCAGGGCCAAGTGTCAGTTCAGGGTCCTGGGCTAGGGAATGAGCCGTTTAAGAAAATGACAGGTGATGGCAAAAACAGGAAGGGAAGGGGAAGTTCTGGTAAAGTGAGAATGAATTCTGGGAAGCCAAGAATTAAATCTGACCTGCTATATGTTCTGGACAGTGAGAATGATGGAAGGGCTGTTCTTGGGTTAAGTGAACCAATTCTTAAAACCAGAAGAGTGACTACTGAGGATAAGAGAGATGAGCTGGGATTAGATTCTTCAAAGCAACCAGGAACCATGATTGACTTTACTGAGGCAGTAGTGATGGGGGAGCCTAAGGAGATAATAGACCCTAGTGTGGAAAGCACTTTACAGGCATGGATTCCTTTGGAAAATAGATCAACCTTGACTCGGACTTCTGATGCTAGGTCAGAAAGAGGAGCCTTAGTCAAAAATACAGGTGTCAGTAACCAGAGCAAGGAAGGAAGTTGTCCTTGGATGGGTCATGAGTCAACTCCTTGGTTTTCTGAAAAGACTAAAAAGAGAAGTAATGAAGGCAGAAACAAAAAGTCTAAAATTAATTATCCCATAGAACCTACTAGAATGGATGACAAGGAGGAAATTCCTAATCCACCTTTTGTAGGGAAGGATGGAGAAGTATCCGATAGCATTCCCTATAAAAACAGGGAATTAGGTCACACTTCCCCCCAAATACTTGATTCTTTATTCTTTCATGTATCAGGTACACACACAGTGGAAGCACTTGACAAAAAGGGTAAAAATGTTGAGGTTAATTCTGCTGAGCTTGAGGCCCCTGAGGGCAACAAAACAAATACAGCCAAGGATTCTGCTATTATTGAACCAGCTGCCAAGGTGACAGATGTGAGCTGCCAAGGCCAAATTCAGGAGACAGGATTTGCTCCCTCAATAGCATCTGAAGAGAACAAGACAGATGCAACCAAGGGACACACAGCAGTGGCTGACAAACCAAATAAAAGGAGTAGTGATGAAAAAAGCAAAAAAGTTAAAAATAGTTTTCCCAAGAAGCACATTCTGGAGAATAAGTTAGATGCAACAAAAATGCATGTTCCCATGGAAACCACAGGGGACCATAGAATTGAAGGAATGGGCTATGTGGACGAAAATAGAAATATTACATTTACCTGTCCCAGAACACTGTCAGGGCTCATGAATAAGTCAGCTCCTATAGAGGCTGTAGAATCAGCAGCCTGTGAAAAACTGCCCACTACTCCTCCTCAAGTAGTAAAGAAAAATGATTCCTTACCAGACACCTTGGCAAAAAATGGGGAAGAGAGAGCCCCAGTTCAGCTTTCTAAATTATTAGTGGAAAATAACTGCAACAAAGATGGGGTCCCAGGGCCAGAAAGACCCAAAACTCCCTCTGTTGTTATGTCATCTGCCAGCACAGAAGGAATTGCCCTGCCTTTTACAGCAGCCATAGAAACAGTGAATAGTCAGGAAGATTGCTGTCTTAAGAATCAAAGTGAGTTTGCTGTTCCCATGAAAAATGAAGCAGGGGTATATGAAGGCCATGTGGTAGGAGAATCTGAGTTGTCACTCTGTGGTGAATCTATCTGTTCAGTAGAGCAAATCCCAGGGCCAGCAAAAGGGCACCTTCTTCCTAAAGTTCCCACAGATGAGCAGGGCTTGCCAGGAGAGACCAGAGTCCTAGAAGCATATGGAAATAGGGGTGATTTCCAAACATCTTCAGTGAACACAGGGGAGGAGACTGAGAAAGGTTCTACTTCTGCTCCAATTTTTGACTTATTGGGAGACAAAGCACAAAAGATCAGTTACCACGAGGACCAAAATACTAAAGATAGAGATTCTAAGGGCCCAGATTATTTGAATAAGGAGGTTGATATGACTCCCTTGCCTCCAAAAAGTGAAAAGGATAAATTTAAAGAAATTATACTGGCTTCTGATGTCACAAAATTACAATGTGTTTCCCCACCAACACCAGAACTCCAGTCCAGTTTCTTATGTGGCAAAGTTGAAGTTCCTCTTTCAGGGGTGGTAGATAAGTTAGAAATGGCTGCTTCCAAGGATCTTCAACTCCCAGAACTCAAAGATAACATCAAGAAAGAGCCTCAGAAAATGACAGAAAAATCGGAACTAACGGTTCTGGGAGAAGGAAAGAAGGAAGATAAAAGCAGAATAATAGAACCAATGAAAGGCTACATGAGACCTACCAAGTCCCGAGGACTTACTCCTTTTATGCCAAAATCTACAATCCAGGAACCAGAGAGATCCAAGCACCTGAAGTCCAGTGGTATGAACCTGTCATGACAAAATGTGTGCGCTTGTGGCTTTTGAGTCTGCATCAAAAAGGCAAAGAACTTGTGCCTTCGTTCCATCCAGACTCTACTCATCCTTGTTAATCTTAGTGTGTTGGCATGAAAACCTATAACTGCTACTTACATGTTTTCTGTAGCCAAGGCATGCCCTGTGTCCAGCTTGAGGAGGCTGTGGTCTCATTTGCATGCCTTTTTACCTGGCCCTGAACCTTGAATTTTAGGGGAAGTTGAAAAGAGTCTTTTGCCATCCACCATTATTAATTTTTAAAAAAAAATTGTGTCTCCTATGTGTAATGTTTACAGCCAATTTTTTAAGCATTGTTTGGTATAAGGATTAATAGGAGGAAAAAAATGCTTCATTTTTAGTGGAGTACACGAGATTTTTTTCCCCCCTAGTAAATATGTAGCTTGTGCTAGTGGGACTAAATATCTAAATTGCTTATAGATCAAATGAAAATGATTTGCTCTCTTCTGGGGAAATGGTAGTTTCAGACTAGTACTGGTGGGCATAGTCTTTATTTTTATTTCTAATAGTGGGAAATGATCTCTAGATACAGCCACATTCTTTGACCAGTTTGCTGCTTACAGCCATTAGCAGACAGTTAATGGGTTAGATTTTGGGCATAGTCTGTGTCAATGAAACATAGTTCATAAAACTTGCCTATTTTGGATTCCTCATAATGTTTTCCCTTTTGGATCTAATTAATCAAGCAGCTCGAATGAGATTAAGATGATTTATATAAGATTTAGGAATATTAGTCTTTTTCCCCCTCTTGAAAAGTATGCACTTAATATATAAACTTCCCTGAAATTAACCTTGAAAATGTGTTTCCTTGCCTTTGAGGTTTTTTGCAGCCCACAAATGATCTTCTTTATAAATTACTCTTTCTCAGCTTGCATGATAGAGATACTAACCAGAAATTGAAACAAAAACAAAAACTTACCAGTTGTCCTTAGTCAAGCAGCCTGTCAGGCTTTTACAGAGACTTCATCTTGGGGTTCTATTCTGCATGGTATGGACCTATTCTTTTTGTGTAAAGCTTGTAATATGCATGGATTTGTATCCAGTAAGGAATACTTGCTATATAAGTAAAGAATGCTAAATGTTATTATTTGTGTACAATATACTCATTTTTTTCCTGCTTTAATTTTCTTCTACTTGCCACCCTTTTACCAAGGCAAAGTGAATACAGTAGCATGTACAGGACATCCCATCATTCTATGCATTTCTTTAGTTTTGGCTTCTAGGCCACACTTCTTTAGTTTTAGCAGTGATCCAAAGGGTAATGTGTAAATTTTGTGGAAATCTTGCCAATATTTCCAAAGATATGCTTAGTATGTTAAAGAAATACTTTTTGCATGGTATTTCCAAAGAAGTGCAGAAAAGGGATTTGTTGTTCTTGGGAAGCGACAGCTGCCACAGAGCTTTTGAGTCCCTGCCCTGGTGAGGCCAAGCTCAGAGTCTGTGTGTTAGGAGTGTCCTTGAAGAGTGGCTGAGAGGAGTGTAATGGATTTTAGATTAAAAAATGTATTGTTTCTTCTCTGAATTCTACTCTACCTTTTCCCTTAGGGTAAACTCTGTACTTAGTTTAAAAAAAAAAAAAAGTTTTACTGATTTTTTTTGAGTAGGTTAACACATTTACATGGTATAAAGGAATTTGCAGTAAAATGTAAGTCAGCCTCCCTCCGATAACCCCTTCTAGTTTTCCCTCTTGTGCTATGCATAGATTTGTGTCCAGTAAGGAATACTTGTTATATAAGTATTTTGCTGTATAAGACAACCAATTTTAATTGTATTGCCCACATCCTTCCAGACCATTTATACTTAAAGTACATATTTCCTGGTTTTATATATGAGACATGCTGATGTATGCCCTGCTTTTTATCTTATTTTCCTTTTGAGGTAGTAAGGATTGAACCCAGGACCACTCTGCCACTGAGCTACACCTCAACCCTTTTTATTTTTTATTTTCACCTTCTTTTTGTTGTTGTTGTTGTTTTGTTTTGAAGTGCTGGGGATTGAACCCAGGGCCTTGTGCATGTGAGGCAAGTACTCTACCAACTGAGCTATGTCCCCAGCCCTTTATTTTTTATTTTGAGATAGGGTCTCACTAAATTGCTGAGGCTGGCCTTGAACTCGAGATCCTCCTGCCTCAGCCTCCTAAGTCTCTGGGATTACAGGTGTGTGCTGCCACACCTGGCTTGGTCTTGCCTTTTAAATTTAACAATTTTAAAAGAGATCCTTACAAATAAGAACAGAGAAAACAATCTCATTCCTTTTGTATACAAAATGTCATATTCCTGGGGCTGGGAGTGCAGCTCAGTGGTAGAACACTTGCCTCACATGTGGGAAGCACTGGGTTCGGTCCTTAGCACCATATAAAAATAAAATAAAGGTATTGTGTCCATCTACAACTAAAAAAAAATTAAAAAGAATTAAAAAAAAAAAGTCATATTCCTGCAAGTACTTGTGTCTGATTAAAAAGGACTCTAGGGCTGGAGCTGTAGCTCAGAGGCAAAGTATTTGCCTAGCACATGTGAGGCACTGGGTTCGATCCTAAGCACCACATAAAAATAAACAAACAAACAAACAAAAAAAGGGACTCCAGAGTTAGCTCTGGTTTGAAGAAGGTGTATTTATGATTTTGAAAGGTATTGCCAAATTGTTCAGCATAGGGCCACAGAGGTGTACAGAGTTAAAATCTACTATCAGCACAGATGAAGACCTATTCCCCTGTACTTTCTCCACTAATGCAACTTCTTGTTGTTGTACATACTGATATAACAGGCAAAAAATTATTTTTCAAGATAGGTTTATTTCATGATTATTTAATGACTACTTTGTGTATCAGCAATAATATTTATAAAATTCATCTCCATTCTGAATTTATAAAAATATTTTCTATTAATTTTTAACAACACCTTTTTAAGTCTGACAGCATTCTAAAATTTGCTTATTTCTGGGTTGTTGTTTTCATTTATTTTTATAAAATGTGATGTAGGGTTACTTGGGCATCTCATTATAATTTGTGAACAGCTTGGTGCATTTCTGGACTTCTCTCATCCCCTAACCATTGATCTTTTCTCTATTCAAACTTCAGTAACAACCTGGCTTAATATATTTTAATAGTAGTAGGGCAAGCACTACTTGCCCTTTTGCTCTTTTTCAGAGTTGTCCTATTATTATTATTATATATAAATCTGAAAATTGGCTTGTATAATTATGTAAAAGAAGAAAAATCTATTGTGTTTTTTCTTAGAGCCAATGATTTATCTATATTATTCTTATGGGAATCAATATTTTGTATGTTGAGTTATTTTATTCAACAGTATAACGTATCTTATTGTCAGATGTTGGTTTATCACTATTGTATGACTATCTTGTTCATAAAGATTTTGTATGCGCTGAGGATGTGGCTCAAGCGGTAGCGCACTTGCCTGGCGTGTGTGTGGCCCGGGTTCGATCCTCAGCACCACATACAAACAAAGATGTTGTGCCCCCGAAAACCATAAAATAAATATTAAAATTCTCTTTTTCTTTCTCTCTGTCTCTCTCACTCTCTCTTCAAAAAAAAAAAAAAAAGATTTTGTGTATTTCTGGCAAAACTTATTCCAGCATATCCAGGAACCAGGCAACTGTGCAGGTGCATAGCTTCAGGCGAGCCTGGGGTTCTGGGGTTCGCACTGGTGTGTTGGGGAATACAGAGTTTCTGGTAGGAATCTAAACAGGGTGTCCCATTATGCCCATCCACTTGTGGTTCATATAGGCTCTTTTATTTTATCCATGACTGGCACTAGATTTGGCTTATTAAATTTTATCTTTGTTCCTTACTTTGAATTATTCGTTAAATGTCCTACCCCCACCCAGATTACCACTGATTCTCATGTTATCTTGTCCTCATTTGTCCTGTGGTCAGATGTTTTTCAACATTTTTTTCAGTAAAGATATTAGTAGAATAGCAATTGCAATTATTCATTCTCTCTCTCTCTCTCTCTCTCTCTCTCTCTCTCTCTCTCTCTCTCCCTCTCCCTCTCCTTCTCCCTCTCCCTGTCCCTCTCCCTGTCCCCATCCTCCTCTCACCCTCTAATACACACACACACACACACACACACACTACAGTATTGTGAAAAATTCCATTTTAGGATGAGAAAATGGAGGCTCTCAAGATTAAGATCATATAGATAGTAAAGTGGCAGAGCTAGAATTGGAATCCAAGTCTTGTTGACTCATTAAAGTTAATGCTATCTACATTCTTGCCTCAGAGGAACCTTCCAGAAGTTTTTAGGCACTGTCAAAGTAAAAGATGAAGGTTGCTAATTAGTAATTATATGTATTTTTTAAACAGTATTTAAAACAGTTGCTAAACTCATTTCTAGCTGGAGAAATAGACACATGAGGACATAAATTGTGAATCAGAAATTAATTTTGGATGAGAATCTAGGTCTTTTAACTCCACACTAATGTCTTATTCTCCACACAAAATCTGTGTTTGATTTATTCATGTGTTGTTCTTCATACCCAGCATAGAGCTTTACATATACATGATGCTTGAAGACATTCTTTGAATTATAAATGATTTTGCTGATTTTATCCTGTTTGGAGATAGGAAAATTAAATATACTGCTCAAGTCTCTTCCATCTTACTGTTTTCTCTCCTGTAACTTTTTTTTTCCCCCATGCTACTCTCAAGTTCAGGGAAACTTAAAAGTTTCATAACATCTTAAGCATGTTATTCTAGCCAGGAAGGATTAATGAGATACTTCAGGAAGTCTGGGCTCAACTTGTCAGAAATGAACTTCTTATGGGACTGTTTTTTTGTGAAGGGAAGCAGGGAAGCACAAGTTTGAAAGGATGTTCCATATGATTCTGGTACCCCCTTTAGTTGTTCCCTGGAAACCAAGTAGAGCTGTGAATGACAGTGCACATGGGGTGTTGTTACTGTAAATGACACAATTAGGGATTCCTATAGATAGG